TTTTTTTTTTTTTTTTTTTTTTTGTCTTTTTTTCTTAGATTCGCGTCAATTAGAATGCTTTACTTTCAAACTTTATCATATGTCTTACGATAATGCATAAGTTACATTTGTTAAACACCGACGAAGATCTTTGAAAATTCTTATCCGTATGATTCGCCATTAGATCTAACACATTTATTTTATATTTTAATACCGTTTCGATAACACTTCCTCGTTCCAGCTCGTCCTCATGAAAAATATTCCTTTATCATTGATATACCAAGGGTGTCTGATCTCTGTCTTGAGAACCAGAAGAATTAAAATATATAATATTCTGTGTGTGCGTTTGAGTATCTTAAGAGTAAATTCAGTAAACTTGATTCGAAGATCTCTTGTCTCTTTGTTAATCACTAAAAAGTGGAAATAGCTTTTTTGTTGTGTACGAGTTAAAACAGGCAGAAGGAATTTCTACTATTCAAAAAAATTTCGAACAAAGTTTTGCCGAAAGTTACGTATCACGATTACTGTACATGTTGTGAAGCTCAAGTTTTCTAACATTTTCATCATTGTCGTCATTTAGATTCCAACTATTCAGTTTCTGTATATTTTATAAAATTGCTACCACTAATATGTTTGATAGAACAAAAAAAAGAAAAAAAAAAAAAAAAAAAAGAAACGAACGAGCGAATGAAAATAAGCCTAGCAAATTGTCGGAAAGGAGGGAACTTTTTCTCTTCCATCACACACCCTGTACGCATCATCATTCATCGGGAATTAGTATCAATCTTTAAAGACACGCTGCATAATGTTTCTCTGAATTAATATATAGTATATCTTATAATTCTATAAGACGGACTATTCTGATATGTATCGTATTTATCAGTCGTATAATATTTGGAGGAAAAGAATAGAAAAGTGCGTTTAATAATCTCCCTGCTTCTCGTTATCCCGACAGGCGAGAATTACGAACGTCAAAACAATTCAGGGAATTTTGAAGTAACACATATATTTACCCTAAGTTTTTTCTCAACGTAATGAAAAAGAGGGATTTGATTCGTGACACTTCTTCCATTCTCACCAGTAACACGAGGAACGACGAAGCTCTTAGGCGAAGGCAACTCGTTTAAAGATTCGATTTCCTTGTCCAGTTATCCGTTTCTCGCCGGAAGTGTACTGGACGACAGATTTTATTTGGTCCATTGCAACTGGTCCGATGCACACTAGAGGATCTTTGAAATACGAACAGACCTAGAGAAAGAGGATAACGAGTTCGTAATATCCCCGATAATTATTATATCAGATCATTCTATGAGAAGTTAAAAAGTTCTTAATATTTCAGTCCACTGATTAAAATTAATTAGAACTGATCATAGTGGTGTCTACCAGTCTTCTTAGTTAACTGTAAAAAAATTTACCTTTCTCGGCGTTTGTCGATGACGTCTCTGAAGTTGACAGCATAAACCGCGGCTAATGTCGCATTCCCCAGACACATTACACTCTTCATCTGCAAGAATTAAAGATAGAACGTCCTAA